AAATCAGAATGTATATAATTAGCTTTATCCATAAAACTGAGTACAGTGCCCATTTTAGGGTTCTCCAATTCCCCTTCTGCATCAAGATTGAGTAGACTTCACATGACTTCAAAAAGTTGGGTAGTCCAGAGTTATGGCAGTGAAGATGTAAGATTTCTTTGCTGCCACTATTTCACAAAAGGCTCTAGGATGTGTTAGAACAAATGTTCCTTTGTACAGAATTATTCGGAATTATTATGCTATTGCACAATATCACCTAAAAATCATATACACTCCTGTCCCACCTAATTTGCACTTATTTTTACCAGAGCTGAACAAGGAGATCAAGAACAGGGTAATTTGGAGACATTAATTCATGGGGTTGTCCTAAGTTGAAGATGGCTTGATAGCACATAACAACCACATTGAACATTGTCATTTCCCAATCTCCAGTTTGAAAACATATTTCTAGACTTTTCCACCAAGTTGTTTTTATCACCAGAATAATTTGGCGTCATCTGGAGCATCTGGTTTCCTTGAGGGAAACACTTCAATTATCCTTCCATTGTGAAAAGTATCTGTTAATTTCTATTCTGTTTCCTTTTCTTTAGCCAATTTCAGGCCATACGAGTCCCTCTTGTCTTACCCTACAACTGCTGTGTTTGCAGTTGCTATGTTTGAAGCCCACTGAATCCCAAACTGCTGTGTTTGAAGCCCATTATTTGGGAATTGGCTGAGTTTGTGTCTGCATGGAATTCAGTAACCTGTAGAAGAGTATGGCTTGAACTCCAAACAGAAACATTCCTGTAAGGAAACAAGGGTATGCTGATGACATGTGTCTGTTCTACTGATTTCATACTGAATGTTTTAGAATGGTACTAAAAACAAAGCAAAACAAAACAAAATCATGGATGCTATGCAACATACAGCTTGCATATGAACAATCTTTGGCAATAACAACTGGCAGCATCCAATACAACCATGGTGCTCTCACTGAATCTGTTGTGCAAGGAAGTCCCACTCCTTATTCAACAGAAAACTAGCAATTAAAAAGGAATCACAGAAACAAGTGGCAATGCTTATATCTGGATTAGGGAAATTAGTGGTGCTCCCTTTTGCAATTTGGCTGCTTTCAGAACCACTAGTTCTCCATTTTGCTAGCAGTAGATTCTTCTGATGCTCAGGCAGACTTGGATACTGCCCATGGCTTTCCAAACCAAAAAGTATTTAGTGCACAATGATGCATTTCGAACTCTTCATATTTGTTAGTACAAGTAGGAACTGTTCTAGTTCTTATGTTTGAATTTGAACAGATAATCCTTGCCTTGACTCTAAATGGCTTTTAGCAAATATTATGATCTGGTATTCAAAGCATGAAAAGCTGCATATCCTCATCAAGAGGAGAAATATTTGTTCATTCATTTGGTGTCAGATGAGACCGACTCTTTTGCCTTGGTGATTAGTTTTTAAATTAAGAAAACTTGCTCTTGCAGTTAATGAGGATCAGCAGAGAACTATAGAAGGTGGCAGGCGGGGGTGGGGGTGGGCTTCATCTGTTAAACATGAGACAGTTATTGATGGTGGTCTCAAACACCTTTTAGTATATTGGATAAGAATGGAAAGTCTCAAGATGCGGACTTTAAGAGATGAAATGTGTTGCTATTCCGTATGTTAATCGTCCAACTATTTTAGCAGCACGATCCTGTACATGCCTAATCAGAAGTAATGCCTGATGAGTTCAAGAGGCCATGTTCCGGGGCAAGATGGTGCAGACTTTCTCTCTCAATCAGGGAAAGGCAACCTTTTTGGGCCATGGACACATCTGGTAATTTGAGAAGTGTCCCGGGCAGCATCATGAAATGGGTGCATAGGAGGGTGGCAAAGGCCACATAACTACAGACCACCTATGTACAAGGCAGTAGTAGAGTCTGCATCCCAACACAGTGAACACTCCCTTGAAACCCACAATTTTCAGCATCCACAAAATCATATTTCAAGGCAATCCCAACCGCAGGAAAGAAAATGTGTTGTTATTTATTAATTATATAGGATAGATATGACATGATGCCTGCTAAGTTGCTTCTTAGGTGTTTTCTGGGTCCTCAGAATACATTTCTGAAACAAATTTAGCTGATAGATTACTGTTTCTTTTCCCTTCCCTCTACAATGTCTGTCTGTCTGTCTTCTTTCCATGTTCTTGCCTGAAATATATTAACAGAACGAGAGGAAATCTTTACAAATAATCCATCATTTATGAACTAAAGCAGCTTTATTCACCCAATCAGTTTGTGTGATTATTTTTAATGGATTTTATTTGAAATAAAAGCTTCACTCTCATTATGGACTCACAAAGTCATGGTTTCCTTGCTCTAGTGTATGATTGTAGTTTTCTCTGTTATTCTTTTCCCTGACTTAAAATATGTAAAAGCAGTGGGCAGCAATGAGAGAAAAATGCATATACATTGAAATGAGATTAGTGTGTAAGTGAATCTTCTGAATCCATTCTCCTATGATAAATGGCAATTTCTGTGCAGTAACCAGATTTTTACATGCAATGTTTAATCCAAATAAAATATTGTGTCTGCAGCCCACCACAGGATTAGAAACAGGGAAGCAAGCTTAAGTGTTCCTAACTCTGAATTGTGAATTGTGGCTTGAACTGTCACTAACACGAGTCTTTTCACTACCATATTCCAGTCATATTCAAAGCACTGGCTTCAACCTTTAAAGCCCTAAATCTTAGTGTCAGATTACCTGAAACTGTGTCTCATTCTGTTTAAGGTCCTAACCTGAGGCCTTTCTCCATGTAACCCTGTCAAATGCAGCAAGGCAGCAGATCACGATAAGATACAAGGGCATTTTAGTGGCGGTGCCAATTTGTGGGATAGTTTCCCCAAATAGCCTTAACTGGTGCTTACATTATATTATTTTTGGTGCTGAACAAAGACTTGTTGTTTGTTTTTTCATGCATCTTAGGAGCCATCTTTACTGGTTTTAAATCTTTGTAATATTTCATCCCTGCTGGTTATTTTTCCCTTTGGTTCTATTATGTACTATGAATGTATTTACACATTTATTTTTATTTATTTTTATCTGGGAGTACAACAGTAATAAATAAACAGAAATGGGGGAGGGAACTACAAATGAAAAAGGAAAGAAGAAGAAAAAGAATGAGAGAGATTCTTCTTCCAGCATTCCAAGTTACCTCACTTAATAGCTATTTAATATCACAACTACTGGTGTCAGAAGCCAAAACTTTTACTTTAAATATATTTTGAATCACTTGTTGTTAGTCTGTCTACCTTTCCTATATATTAATATTGTCCACATACAAGAGTTGTAACCTGTTTCTATTATTTTCTATAATCTCTATAAGAGAGATGTTTCAGTATGTCCACCAATACATAAAACTATTAATATATATTATACAGGGTTTTTTGTTTGTTTAGTTGCAAAGTTGTGCCCAACCCATCACGACCCCATGGAGAACAACATTCCACCATATATTCTAGAAATGAATAAGAAATGTGTATGTGTACATACTGTATGGAATCTTCTATTAAATGCCAAATGTTGGCAATTCTGCACTTTAATATCTCTGAGAAATGAAAAGTCCTTTTTACTAGCTTATACTGCAAATTTGTGTAGCTATTAGCTGATGGTTTGGTCTGTAGTTATTCTGGCAATCTTTCACAAATGCTAATATCTGATACCTTCTCAGCTCAAAACTCATTTATAGTTACAAATGGTTCAAGTGGGTGTATAGCACAGTAGACGTTTTCCACCGAGTGCAATATTCCTGCAGGATATTCTGAGATAAAGTCTGTGCAGTTAAAATCAGGGTTAAAGGCAGGTGAATCAAATGGTAAATAGGGATTTCATGGGCTGCACAGAAGTCAAATTGTTCCAGTCGATGTGAACTAACGTAATGTTTCAGGTGAGCTACTTTCAGTGGAACACAGGAGATCAGATGTAATTGATGGCATTCTGAATAGTAAGACCACCTGCAAAGCTGGTACAGTTCACTGATAATGTATGACAGATAAAAGAGTACATGGGCAAAGAGAGGTAGAAAGCAGTACAGCTTTTTGTACATCTTCAAAGAGCTAAAGAAGATTTGTTCTATGAAAACCTGGTGCCCAGAGTAAAATAGCTAAATATTCATCAATTTCCCTTTTTATGGAAAAATCATTAGTACTATTGGATTTTTTTTATTATTTGTGTGTGCAGGTGGTGATAAAATTTATGAAATATCCTTTCCTTAGCGAATGTTGCCATTACCTTTCCTTTGTCAATGGACTATTTCTTTTTTATCATTATAAGGATCTTTCTGCACATCTATGAGAACAAACCTGCACATGCATCTAGGTTTGCTATATGTGCTACAAGGAGCTTACTGGGTAACTGACTTACTGAGTTTACTGGCTCACTAGTTAGCATTTCATTATGCTGCACCACTATTTCATGATGCTTCCTCATTCATATATTACTTTATGATGTGTACATATAAATTATGTAATGTGCGGACAGTCAATATGACAATTTTATATCTGACTAAGCATCTTTATTATTGAAAGAACCCTTGTGAGAAGTTGTTATCCTTCATTTCCTTGTGCAGTATGGACAGAATTTAGAATTCCTTTCTTGCTTTGCCTTTGGAGCTTGTTTAAGGTCCGTTTAAATGTGTTTGCTATCCAGTAAGAATTTCCAGATGTCTAGCACATGGAAAGACAATCTGTAATTGATTAATTTTAAGTGCATATGAAAAAGCAAGCAATAGGGACTCCCGCTTTTATGGAATTCTGTGCAAATTGGGAAGAGGGAAGAAATATTCTCAAAGCTTGTATTAAAGATACTTAACTAGGACCATGACCTTTTGAAAGTTGGAACGAGAAAGAAGGAACTGTGTGTTTGTGAATATGTACATGCCCTGTAACTAATTACGTGATTGATGTGTTAAAATTACCTTTGCCTTTCTCTCTTATTCCTTCTCACTAACTCATGTTCTCTTTGCCTTATAGGTTTTCTGAGCACTGGAGATCAAGCTGCAAAAGGCAATTATGGGTTGCTTGACCAAATCCAAGCTTTAAGATGGATTGAAGAAAATATTGGATCATTTGGAGGAGACCCAAAAAGAGTTACAATTTTTGGATCAGGGGCAGGAGCATCTTGTGTTAGTCTATTGACACTGTCACACTATTCAGAAGGTAAGAATCCTCCTAGTTTAATATGAGGAATTACATAATTTATTAGAGGATTGCAAACATCCATGGGACATCTTAGGTATCATAATGTCAACTTTGTGATAATTCAGTTCCCTGTTTTTTTTAAACTAATCCAGTTGAGAAGGTAAATTTTCTATGGGATATATTCCATAGGCCAAATAGGACAAACATTCTGCACAAAATACAAAAAAAGAAAAAGAGCATTTAGGTGGCTCAGTAATCTCTCCTAATTGGAACCTTTGGAAGGTCCCCAACCTTTTTGGGCCAGTGCGTACAGTTGGAAATATGATAAACTGCCAAGGGCATCATCATAAGATGGCTGCCATGAGGGATGTCACTTGTCACAAAACAGCTGCTGTGGGAGTCTGGCTACTGACAAATGGCAAGCAATCTGTTTCCATAGAAACAGATTACAAGGCAGAAGGTGGGTTTAAGCTCAAAATTCCAAAGCACATTTGACACCACAAATCAGAAAAAAATACCTATTTCACAGAAAGAAAACTGGAAAGGGAAACCCTGAGACAACCCCTATAACCATTTAAGAGAATTCCACTTTTATTTGCAAAATGTGCCCCATCTGGATCTCTGAATGTGAGAGCGAGCACATCTGTTAAAAACATACACAAGTTATTGAACACAGGCTCATATTTATCTCATGCCCAATCCCCAGTTTGATTTCTGCATTTTCCTCAGAAGGCAGAATCAGTCCTACTTTAGTGTCTGATGAAAGTTTGTCCAACTTTGCACAAATCTCTCTTTGAGTCACTGGACTGGGTGGACTCCCCATCTTCATAGGGTGAGCAATGATAACAGGGACAACTGAGAATTGGGCATAAAATGACTGGGGAGACAATGCTCAGAGTATTTTACCAATCCAAAATTGATGTTTTCCCATCGTTATACCCAATGCCAAATACTGAATACCGATATAGCATAACAACATGCATATTTTACAGAAGTCAAGCCAGCTATTTACCACAAATCACCTCAAGGAAGATCACTCACAAATAATTATCTCCAAACTCAATACCGCTAATTAATTCTTCTTTAATTAACTCTTGATCTACCCATTTCCCTTCTGTTAGTCAACTCAACCCTCACATTCTTTGTATCTCTGAAGACCAAAAGCCATCCGTGCATATCTTTTCTCAAACCCGGATCTACAGCCAAACATGCAAACATGCATGCACTTTACATCATTCTCCTACGTATGCATCCTTTCAATATCTGTTCAAACACACATACACTTAACATGTGCTCATGTAAGACACACTCCTTCCTCCCTTGCTCTCACTCTGTCGTTTGTTACTGCCTCCCTGGCAACTAGTTTATCCTTCCAGACCCCAATGTTGCTAAACAGTCCTGTACTCCTCACTGCCTCCCCAAGACTTTGCTAATTTCCAACCTCCCCACAATTTTGTCTGCTGTTATCCTGCCTTCTACAGAACTCCTTCTGATATCTGCTAGGCACTGGTAGGATCCTGCTTCTTCCTCCATTACAGCTGTGGAAGCTGCAAAGTAGTGTAATGGCTTAGCTGCCGTCATTTCTTCAGAATGCTTCAGGAGCCATATTCACTCAGCTGCTGGGGAGGAGAAATAGATAAAGAAATGGAAGGAAGGAAGCATAGCAAGCACCAATGCCCATGTTACTGCATTGGGGAATTCTGTAATAGATTTTTTTGCTAGCACCATTAGAGCATATACCCCAAGTAGATAGTGCCCTCTCCCAGTCTTATCTTCCTGATAATTAGAATCTAGCTCACAACACAACTAACACACTAGCAAACTCACAGTTGAGAAGCAAATATATTTTGCCAGGTGAATCATGGTCAAACAAAATTCAGAATTGATTATTTTCTGATTTGATTGCTAAGTTAAAAAAAATAAAACATAAATCACACAATTTCAATAAGTTTTCTACCCCCATCCATTTTGAAGTTGTTATACTATCCCAGACAAGATAGTCTACCTATGTGCTCTTTAAAAGAGCGTATACTTTTATTACCTGGAATTCAAGTCATCTGGGATATATATATATATATACTGTATATCCATCTGCTATGCTGTGCTTTAGTGATGCAGAACAGCTTTAGACCAGGCGTCAGGTTGCTTCACATCACTGGAGCGTAGCATGGAAATCACAATCTGTTACTGAATCTGACCCCAAATTCCCAATTCCTTTTGAATAGTTAGCAACACGTTCTGATTTATTAATCTGATCAATGACTAAATGAAGAAATACCTATCTAAGTGATGCAAAATAAGGTTGCAGAGTAACATTCTTGTAATCCAGCCATATTAAAGTAGTGTAGCATGATTTTCTGGACTGCATGGCTTCTATGAGACAAAAGAAAATTGCACACCAGGAAAATTGCACTTTTTTCATTGTGCAAGTCTGGCACAAAAAGAGAAGGTTGCTTGCAGTTGTCATTCACATGCAGGCTTTTCCCAGCATTAGGAGGGCCACTTACACATTCGCAGAACAGGATATCCAGTACTAAGAAAAAGATGCAGAGGAGGAGGTGGTGGTAAATTTGCATACACTTGGCATATGTTCATTTATATGTATAGTTGCAAATTTTATAATATTGCTATACATGTAAGCGCACTGTGTTGGCAAGATTACAACTAGATGATCTGTCTGCCTGCTCACTTGAAGGCCACTGCTTTTGCAGGCTATTTTTAATTCGTTTTTTTTAAATTTCACACCAGAACCCTTTAAATATGAAAAGTTAGCACTCAAAGAGAACACTGCCCTCATATTGCCCTTTGTCATCTGCCCTTCAAATAGGGAATTGTGCTCTACAGGAAAAGCAACCAAATGAGTTAGTTGATGCCACACTCCTTCCATCCAGATCTTGGGATTAAAATTTCCTCTGTGGGGGAAATCTTCAAACTCTACCAGAGATGTTGTAGCTGTAGGAAATAAGACAGTGGATTTAAACAAGCTGTCCTTGCAGATCTGGTGGGCGAAGCTCTGCCCTCATTGAAGAGTGCCTTGCCTCCACATGAATTTCATCCTAAACCTTTCGAGCAACTGGAAATTGTTGACTTGGTTGCTTGTAGGGCTTGGAAAAAAATAACTGCCTGTCAAACGTGACATCCAACAGCATTTAAATTTGCCATTTATTTACATCTAGGAGAATGTAAAACCAGAAAAAATAAACCCTGGAAAATGCAATGTTTGAAAAAATGGATCTTTGATTAGGAAAAAACAGGGGTCTAAATAAGCCTGTCCTAATGTTCTGTTCTGCTTTAAGGACTAGACTTTCACTGGGAAATGTGCAAAAGATCAGGGTTACTTAGTCACCATCTAGTCACCCAGGAGCAATTTGTAATCCTGAATGGCTACCAGGAAATATGTTAATAAGAAAACCTATATGTACAATGTGATGCGACAGTTTTATCTACAGATTTCAATTATGGTACATATTTTAGACTACCTGTAACAAAGAAAAAATCTAATCTTCATTTTCCAATAACTTGAATTAGTAATTGATCATATCTGACACTTGCATTGTATCAGGAATGTCCTCTCAACCTGTTCAAAAAGTGCAAATGAAAATCCTTTTTCCATAATTAATTTAACTCATTTCATGGCATATGGAAAACAAAAGCATCTTTCTCAGTTAAAACTCTGAGTTGTTTCTGCATGTTTACTGGGAGGAACTCCACAATAGAAAAATCAGCAACATTTGGGCCATACATGGATTTGTTGCTCTAGATTGTGGCTACTATCCACATGTCAAACAGGATGTGATTGTGCTGAATATTTGGGAAACATTTTTATCCTTAGACAGGCAGACTGAATTTTCCATGCTTCCTATGATGAACATTAAGAAACAGGAAGAATTTAGCTAGGAGCATAGCCAAGGAAAGTTACTAGGCTAGGGTGCTGAAGCTGGAATTAAAAACAGGTTATTTTTGTACACATTTTCTCTTTCCTAAGAATGCACTTCCTCTAGATAACATACAAAAGATTATTTTGCTCTCTCAATGCTGCTTCTTCATGTATTTCAATTTTAACTTTTGCACCTGCAGGTCTGTTCCAAAAGGCAATCATACAAAGTGGAACAGCCCTGTCCAGCTGGGCAGTGAACTACCAGCCTGCCAAGTACACTGCGATTTTGGCAGAAAAAGTGGGCTGCAACACGTTGGACACTACAGACTTAGTTGAATGCTTTCGGAATAAAAACTACAAAGAACTCATTCAGCAAACCATCACGCCAGCTACGTACCACATTGCCTTTGGGCCAGTGATTGATGGGGATGTAATTCCAGATGATCCTCAGATTCTGATGGAACAGGGAGAATTTCTCAACTATGACATAATGCTAGGTGTAAACCAAGGGGAAGGCTTAAAATTTGTAGATGGCATTGTGGATAATGAAGAGGGTGTCTCTCCAAATGATTTTGATTTCTCTGTTTCCAATTTTGTGGACAATCTGTATGGTTACCCAGAAGGGAAAGATACACTGCGAGAGACCATCAAGTTCATGTACACAGACTGGGCAGACAAGGAGAATCCTGAAACACGAAGAAAGACTCTGGTCGCACTCTTTACTGATCACCAGTGGGTTGCACCAGCTGTTGCCACAGCTGACCTGCATGCCCAGTATGGCTCTCCAACGTACTTCTATGCATTTTATCACCACTGCCAGAGTGAAATGAAGCCCAGCTGGGCTGACTCAGCCCATGGTGATGAAGTTCCTTATGTGTTTGGCATTCCCATGATTGGCCCAACTGAATTGTTCAACTGCAACTTCTCCAAGAATGATGTCATGCTCAGCGCAGTTGTTATGACATATTGGACAAACTTTGCCAAAACTGGGTAAGTTTTGCCACACAGTGTTTGTGCTTATGCCATCAGTCTGAGATGCTACAGCTGAGCATTTGATCTTTGAGGGGCAAATTGTGCTTACAAAATATTACTTGCAATAGATTTAAAACAATGTTTTCAGGGTGCTGTTAAGCAAGACTAAATGGTGACTTTGGGGGTGCTGCCGGTACACTTGTAAACAGATAGGTGGGCTCATTCTTCTCTGATTCTGCAAATTCCTACAGTGAAACATGCCTGGTCATCCTTCTTCTGCCATGCAGAGTATTTCCAACAGGTGAGCTATTGCCAGATTTGAAAGAACCTTCCATTACCTGATGCCACCCCACCCCAAAGAACCAGGATAGAAGGTGGTAGGCCATCATCCACAAAAGGAACAGCAACAGAGCTCTGTCTGGCCCCTGAAACTGTGCAGAATTACAATTTCTATTAATCCTATTTAAACCCTAGTTTAAACAGGCTTACTCATTAGGAAGAGGTACTTGTTGTTATGTAAAACCAGAAACTACTTTAATTTGATGATGATTCATTTACAGGAAATGCTCAGCATCATAGATCTTTGGAAGGAGGATAGGAAAATTTAGCAGTATATTATCCCTAGTCCGAGAACAATAGCTAAGAAGCTAAACAAATATATAGGTTTGTTATGTAGACAGACTCTATGACAAGCCTAGTAGTAATTATTGTTGTGTTATCTAAACTCCTTTCTTTTCTATTCTAAAGCTTCTTTCTCTTCACTGGCGTCTTTAAGGACCTAGTATACAGAATGATGCATCACTGTTTCATTTAAAAATAGTGCATTTATTAAGCCATGACAGTTTGTGAAAACTATAGGCCTCAGGTTAAGACTATAAAGCATGGTGAGGGGGAAAGAAAGTATTAAGTAGATCAAACAAATTCACTGGTTCTACCCCCACAGGTTTACAGAGGTATCTTTCTTAAAACCAAGAGAGTAGTGGGAAGAGATAGATCTAGAAAGAACTGCACAAACACCTTTTTCTACCCACTCTTATGAGTAGAATGAAAAATTATGTGTATTGTTTTAAAATGAGGAATAAATTTCTTGTACATATTTGGAACTGTATGCGATAGCAAATAAGGAAACGTAATAGTACAAGTGGACACAAGGTGCTTGTTAATTTAGTTGTGGGAAAGATACTGTGACAGAGATCAGCATTATGCTCTCCCAAGTGTAAGAAGAGTTTGTTGATTTGGTTTTGCTTTTGAAATTTGATTTCCCCCCTTTCTCTTTTCTGTTCTGACTATTGAATTAAAATAAATGTCCTTGTGGCACACCAAGGACCCATAAATCTTTGCAATGAATGTTTAATGGCAGAACTGGGCTTTCAGCGCTGCAGCTGTACTGCAGTGCAGAGAACAGTATACTGCAATATCTGAGAGTTTAGAGAATGCGTAATGTCCTGACCTGCCCAGAAGTTTAAGCAGATCTCACAGTATTTAAGAAACCAATTGCATGCCATAGTTTGTATAACCATCACAAAAAGCAAGCAATTACTTGTATACATCAGAGAAACTGGGAAGCAATATATCTTTTTCTGAAGTAAGAGTGAAATGCCACTACTTGCTCTTGAATTGTATAGCGGAGTCCATAATCCTAAAGTACGTTGTCACTTAATTTAAGAACAACAATAATACACTCAAAGACTCCAGCATTTTCTGACCCAGAAGAACCCCCTGAACATGGCTTTTAAAATGGGACTGGAAGCAAGCCTGGCAAAATGAAAGAGCCCTGCAAAAATTGGGTGGAGAGACAAAGTTGGTATGGTGTGGATAATGTTCTCCAGACTGATATATAGCTTAAATGGATCTTTGCTGCAGCGGGAATATTGGAATCAAGGGATTCTCCTTTAACATTAGGATATAAATAAATTATAATCCAGAAGTTGGACTATGCCTGTGCATTGTTATATGCTCTCTGGATATTGGGCAGTGGGGGAAATTTTTGGCAATGGGGTGGCCGGAAGGATGAGAGACACCAACCTCAACCAGTCACACTGGAGCGGCAGAGGAACCACACTGCATGAACTTTCAGCTAAACAATTATGAAACAGAATCCCCCTCACATAATTACAGATGTTATTACAGCTAACAAACCGTGCTTGTAAAGCTAAGCATGTAGCTTTAAAGTGTATGTAAAATCATTTCCATGGTGTCGAGTCCTCCCCTATCTGCTTGTTATGTATATTACTGTTGTTATTTTTGCTCTAAAGTGTTAACAAGTTAGACTTCAGCATTTATCTAAGGATTACAAGAGCTCCTTTATGATCCCAGCTGTTAGTATTATTCAGAATTTCAAGCAATTTTCTGTAGGTCTCCTGCTCAAAGCTAATTTCTGCTGGATGTACATAAACTGGTACTATCTCCTGGGTTTATACTGTGCTTCCTAAAGACAGCACAAATGTTTAGGCAGGGTCATTAATCATTTTATTTGCACCCAACTATTAATATGATTACTAGGTAGAAATGAGACTGACTATCACAAAAAATCCACTTTTTTAAAAATTTGCTCTGATTTGATAGCATTTAGAAGTGAATAACCTTGAAGTTGCTCTGTTCTGGAGAAGAATGAGAAATTCTGAAGTCTTGGGGTTTTTCTTAGAAAGAGAGCAAATCATGGTTACTAAAGACAATCACAGCATGTAGAATCATCAGAAAGGGAAAATCAATATGATCTAAAGATTCCAGGTCAACATTGCACTGTGTTTCTTGCATTTATGGGGTAGGTTATAATGAAAAAGAAATTATTTCACCAAGAGAAATATTTTCTTGGGAAAATTGAAGTCAAGGCTATGTATTTTCTGCAAAAAAGGTCCTGTATATGGATCCAGTCTAACTTCTCCACTTGTTCAGCTTATTGCAATCTGACTTTTAAAACAAGATTCTTGGACCTGTCATCCCAACAAGACATTCTTACCAAGGCCTCTATACATGAGCTCCTGTGAGTAGCCTGGGCATTGGGTATGCTCTAATGCAACACACAACACAAGACATTAAAATTGCTTTTATTTAAATGTTAAAATTTATGCTGAACTTTTTCCATATTTCAGTGTACTTGACATAGCAGTGGTGCTGGGCTTAAACTAGAGGTTAAACTGGAGTCTCATGAAGAGTTTAAAAATGTGCTCTCTCTTCACATAGTAGGTGGGTTCACATGACATGACAAGGTGGTTTCTAGTGCAGGATGGTCGGTTGTGTTGCCCAAACACTGCAATAGTATTTCAGCAAGTCACATTTGGATTTCAAAAACCATGATTAGAAGCAGTGATTCTGTGGTTTTAACATTTCACCATGGCTTCACCAGTCATCCTAACCCAGCTATCATTGTTCCTGTTCTGCAACTACCACAGATTTCTCTGGAAAGAGCTCCAGCTGTACCAGTAGCTCCTGCTATCCAGTGTGAGATTGAGTTTCTAGCTGGATGCCTGATGAGATATGTGGCAATGGTGGGAGGAGAGTGGAAACTACTTGATAATCTGTCAGGCACATCTGGACCAAAAATAAAAATTCACCGTGGAAACCACACGGGGTTGCTTGTCATGATGTGTGAACTCAGCAATGGTGTGACTGGTTTAAATCTATTATTTGTTTGCTTGTTTAATGTTTATACTGCCCATTAGTGAAGACAATTCTCTGGGCAGTTTACATAATCAAAACGCACAAGTAAAAACAGTACATTAAAATTGAAGATTACAACATGGAGAGGAACCACTGGTTTTGCTAATGGGAAAGCATGCAAATCAAATAAATAAATGTATCCTCACCATTTGGCCCACAAATGCTTCCAGTGAGGCCCCCATGAAGTCCTACCTCAGTCCCAGAGTTCTGACTCCTCTGAGTAGTTGTGGGGGTAGAAGAACAGCTTCTTACTGAACTGCCACCGTAAAAAATGGGGTGCAGATTGGCTCTCCTCCCTTTAGTGTACATCAGTTAAGGATATGGCTTGATGGAAAGGAAAATTTGAATGTCTCTATCAGTCAACTGTTTGGTGGGGTGGGGCAGGGGAGTAAACAGTGGGCTGGCCATGAGGCTCTTCCCTAGCAGCTTATTTGTTCTGCTGCTGATGTTCTCTTTGGGAAACAGCACCAAATGAGGATTAGGAGAGGAACTCCACAAGCAAATCCTGTTGTATGGACAGTTCCTTATTCCTACATACATACATACATATATATATATGCAGCAGGCTGCATTCAAATGTATGCTTCTTTAGCTGCACTAGGAGTCTGTCTCCAGTACTTACTCCTTTTCTCATTATACTTCTTGGCTTTTCTAGGATATAATTAGCTCTCTTGGTTCACTGCCTAAAGCACAATGGGCATGTTTTGCTTGTGAGGCTGAAAGATGACAAATCTCACTTAATGCTACATCTTTTCACAACAAGCAAACAATATTTTGGTCATTTTGGGGGGTCTGAGTAACTGTCACAAAGAAGTAGTATCCAGAAAGATACTGTCCAATTACCACTCAGTGCATTATTTGGAAGTGCTGCACTGCTATTCTAACTGACATAAATCTCCTGCTGGTTGGAAATAGCAGGCTGTTGAATGGCCCACTTCTAGAACTGTTTTTCAGGCACAGGTCAAGGTTGCTAAACAACTGTCAAATTACTTCTCAAAAGGCACATTACTTTCATTGTATTGTATGTCTAACCTTTAAGCAAAGGTAGACCTTGAAATGTGACTAAGGAAAAAGACTGTAGACCCAAATACAACATTTAGAATAAAAAATAGCCATTGCCTGATGGTCTAGCTCCATTTCTGTCCTTCAACCCTTCATGGTTCAACATACTTGCAAAATCATATTTATTTACTATCCTTTTCACCACAGAATGTTTAAAATATGGATAAGAATAGAAGGCACTATGGAGATGTTTCTGATATATGCAAGTATAACTGGTTTTGTTGTATATTATAGCTATGTTGGCTTTCTGTGTACACATTTAAAGGGTACAGTTTAGTTTATAACTAAAAATAGACATTTAGCTATTCAGTTATTTTAATACATGAGCTTTTCTGGGTTGAAACCCACAAGAAAAGATGCTATGAGTGGAAATGCAGGCTTGAGTCTGAAAAGGATTAGTGGAATTTGGGGCCATGTTTGACCCTAGACAGAAATCTCCTCTGCCAAGAAAAATACTGTAGATGAAAAGCTTTTGTTCTGGCTAAAATTTTCCCCCAGGAGGTTTCCATCAACATAAGAATGGCTTTCAGCTCTCAGAAAGTACAGGTAATTTAAGATTTAATACTTCCTGAGGCTATGCAAAATGAGAAAATCTGTGTAACAAAGCTTGGTCCATTGACCTTTTCTTTGCATCACTGTAGTTTGGCCTACTAACCTTTTAGAACAGATTTTAATTCTGTTTGCTGGAGGATTTAGCTAAGAATCTTAGCCTTTAAAAGAGAACAAGACAATCTGTATTGAACCTTCGTTTGCTACTTGGATTGGACCCTATTGTTCGGGAAATAAAAGTACCCCATAGTACTTTTCATAGGGAACCTCTGGGGTACTTTTGTGTCCCAGATAAGTTTGGTTTATGGGTTGATGAGGGGAGAATATGTGAAACATAGGAGCTGAAATTTGGGCTGGGCATTTCGTGATAATGTCTTTGATGATCAACTGTGCAAATTACAGTATAGAATATGAGCTGGGGGATTCCAGTTTCCTGAGAGATACAGTTACACACCACTGGGTGTGCTAAGAATATTTGTAAATAACATAGAAATCATGATCCCTGTTAAGTCTCTAATAAAGTCTCTTTATCGCGTCTTGTTCAACAATCACATTCCAAACAACACCTGATTTAAATTTCTTTGTGATGTCCTTACTGGAATGCCCAGGGAGTTTAAAAAGATTCTTTGCAAGCTTATTGATGTTCTTAAGATAAAGATAGAGTCCTGTTTGGCAGAAGTAAGTGACTTTTGGCCAGTTGAAGCAGGAAATCAAATAGACAATATCAAATAACAATAATAAATTTGTTATTGATTCTTTACTATTCTATCCCCATTGCTCGCTATCAAATATTGACAATAGTGCATTTCCAGGTTTTACTGCAATATTTAAATTCCATTGTCTGCTAATTTAAAAAACATTTCCCAAACTTTCATTATATATTCACATTCCCACCACATGTAGAAATATGTACCCACTTCCAGGCCACATCCAACATAGAATATTTACTCTCCAGAGTCAGAAAACCATTTCCATACTAGTTTATAAAAAGTTTCCTTTATTCTTACTAACATACACTTTAATATTCTTTTATACCAGATATTTTCCCACTCTTCATTATTAACATTTCTTCTTAAATCTGTTTCCTATGACACTTTAAGAGAATCGTATCGATCTTCCACTTTTAGCAATATCTTATAAATTTTACTTATTATCCCTTTCATCTACATATCTTACTTTTCCTGTTGTGTTATCATATCTTCAAATTTGGTATAGTCTCTGCATCCAGCATTTTTCTTTAACCAGTCCTTAGTCCACCACATTAAACCAAGTTTACCCCCCTTCTAATGCGATTTTTAACTTTTCGTTATTATTCAGTTTCTCAAACCAATCTTTTGACTGTTTATTCCTCAAAATGTTCCTCAAATGTCCTCTCAAATTTTCAGGAATGCTTCTAATTCCATAATTGGATATAAAGGCAAAACTGATGACATAAAAATCCATTATCTGTAAATCCATTATCTCTCCAAATTCTTCTAAATGTATTTTAACATGGCCATAATTTTAAACAGATTATTTATTGTTAATGAAATATAATCAGTAAATAAGCTAATTCTTGTTTTATTTTCAGATCCTATGCCTCTTATACTATTATCATTCCTATTATTCTATAACTAAAGCAAACAATATTGGGGAGAGGGGACATCCTATCTGCTACTTCTTCTTAGGGATAATTGCTCCATTATCCCATCATTATCATAGTTGCGAAATTTTCTGAATTTATTTACTATGCCTTTAAATAGTGTTCCAAATCCTTATATCTCTATTAACATCTTCATTGTTGGCCATTCCACACAATCAAAACTATTCAATTATATTATCCTTTTAATTTTTCCTTACATGTGACCTCTATTACACTTACTACTCTTATAGTGAAATCTGCCATCTGTCTGCCAACTATAAAATCACATTGATATACTCTAATATATTTATCGATGAAACCATACATTCTGTTTGCAAATGTTGCTGTAAAAAATGAGATTGGACATATTCTTAGAGGGGAAACCTTACCAATCATTACTAGTCCTGATGACTATATGCTGCCTTCAATATCAGAGACAGTGTTCCAGTCCCTGGGGAACATAGGTCGGATGGTGCTGTTCCACACATAACCTGCTCATTCAGTCCTGTGAGCAGCTGGTTGGCCAATATGTTGGACTAGACAGGGTAGACTATTGCTCTGATCCAGTACGGTTTTTCTTATGTTCTTAAAACTGATTTTTGTGTTTGTTGTATGAGTTTGTGTTCATGTGGAGGGTTGTTAAGGGACTGGAGTAATGCATAGGCAAAGATGTACTACAAATTTTATTTTGACTTTTTCCCCTTTTTAATGCTCCATTTAGTACAGAATAGAATGATATTACGATTAATGTTAAGTAATAATTTTGCCTGCAGCACCTGCATTCTTGAACAATGAAGGAAACTTGGTAGTATTTAACAATACTTATGGACATTCTGAAAATTGCATATGCTGCCTCAAAAATGTCTTTGAACTCAGTTAAAGCATTCCTGGTATTGTAGTTTCTGAAATAATATGAGGCACAATCCTATGCATGTTTAGACAGAAAAAGTCCCACAACCACAGCTCTTTTTCTGTCTAAACATGCATGTGATTGCACCCTTGACCTGTGTGGCAGAGGTATATAACATGTGACCCTCTAAATAATTTGGCCTATGATTCCTATCGACACTTGCTAGCATAGCCACGAGTTGCCCAACCTTTTTGTATGGGACTAAAAATAAGAAACTTCAGTAAAATTCAGTGTAATGTACTATGAATGTTGGTACAATATTAAGAAGTGTATACACTATGGAGAGGTGGGAGAAGCATATACTAGCAACATTCTCTTTCAAGAAAGCAGACATTAGGTGAAAATGTATGCAGAATGTATTACAAAGTTTGTATCAAAAGGCATGCAATTTGTCAGTGTTTGTCTGTGGGCTTAATTCAGAAGCAAAGATTGGTAAACTGATACAGAAATGAAACAGAACAAACTTCTGCTTGAAACATGCTATTATAGAAAGCAAAACAGATAGATCCATCCATCCTTATCTATACAAAACAGAATAGCATTATGTAAATTGTATACAAACCATCTTTTTGAATAAGTTACCTAGTCTAGTTAGTGTCTTGAAAACAAATTCTGTTTACCCATTGCCTTGTATCCCAAAGCTCGGCCTTCAGGAAGCAAACATTATAAACACTTTGTGTACAGTATGCAGTTCTTGTGAGAGGTCTGATTGCTTGTAATAATATTTTGTTTGTCTATTGTTTAGGGATCCAAACCAGCCTGTTCCCCAGGATACAAAGTTTATCCATACAAAACCCAATCGTTTTGAAGAAGTGGCCTGGTCTAAATATAATCCAAAGGACCAACTTTATTTACACATTGGCTTGAAACCCAGAGTCCGGGATCACTACCGAGCAACAAAAGTTGCTTTCTGGCTAGAACTGGTGCCACATTTGCACAACCTGAATGAAATATTTCAGTATGTTTCCACAACAACCAAGGTGCCACCTCCTGACATGACATCATTCCCTTATGTCACCCGGCGTTCTCCTGGAAAGTTTACCACCAAACGTCCATTAATGACACCAAGCAACAATCCAAAGCATTCAAAGGATACCCAGAAGACATCTCCCGAGGATACAAGCGTTCTAATAGAAAACAAGAGAGATTATTCCACAGAGCTCAGTGTTACCATTGCTGTTGGTGCATCATTATTATTCCTCAACATTTTAGCATTTGCAGCTCTGTATTATAAGAAAGACAAGAGGCGTCATGAGACACACAGGCGCCCCAGTCCTCAACGGAACACAACCAATGACATCGCCCATATACAGAACGAAGAGATTATGTCACTGCAAATGAAACAGCTGGAGCATGATCATGAGTGCGAGTCACTACAGGCGCACGATACCCTGAGACTCACCTGCCCACCTGATTACACCCTCACTCTTAGAAGATCTCCGGATGACATTCCACTTATGACCCCCAACACTATAACCATGATTCCAAACACATTAACAGGAATGCAGCCTTTGCATACTTTCAACACTTTCAGCGGAGGACAAAACAGTACTAATTTGCCCCATGGACATTCCACCACTAGGGTATAGCTCTTTCATTTGCCCCACCTTGTGCCACCTGGAAGAATAAAAATAAGAAAAAGAAAAGAGAAAAAATAATCCACATTCTCCATCAAGCAACTTGTCAAAATTTAAAAAAAGGTGAAAGAGAAAGGCAGACATAATTTTCTTACAGATCCTTTCCATGGGAACTTTGATGTTCTAAAAAAGATCACCTTCTCAAACCCTGTGAAATGTGAAATGTGTACATTGCTATTAGGATACTGCTTTAATATCTCAACCACTTTGAATGAAAGTTAAGAGTTGAGGCCTGAAGAAAGTCAGTTATAAAAAGATATGTATTGAGTGTAACAAACAGAAGCAGAAACTTCTGGAACACAGAGCCAGTGACTGTACAGGTTTTTTTTTTTAAATAAATAAAATTTTAAAAATATGTTCTATATGTGCCATACCGTGAATGGCCCTTGTTATACTAAAAGACATCATCATGGGCTTTTACCCATCATAAGAAGCTGTAATCCAGAATGGGGAAATAAGATTTTATTATATATATAAAATAGGACTGACTATGCAGTAAATACGTATAGTTCTGTGCAAAGAGATGACTTGCCAGCCTGAACTATATTTAAGAAACTTTGTAAAAAAAATGTACATAGCTGTGAGTTTAAAAAAGAAGAAGAAGAAGCTTTTATTGATGTTTTCAGTTTGAAAAGAGCTTTTAGAAAGGTTGTGCTTTCAGTTGTGATCTATGTGTATAAACATTAGTCATATCACCTCTGCTTCCTCCAGACCAAAAGGAGGATTTTCTTCTTAATTACTAGTGGTAAACCAAGACATGAGGTTTTTCCCTACTGTTTCATTTCTAGGAGGACATGGCGTGTCATACAGAAGATGCAGATAACTCTGTGGCCTGCCAGATTTTTCTTTACAGGTTACACATGTGCATGTTAAGGCACTCATAGGTAGCAAACAGTTGGGGTTGTTTTCTTAAGATTTTTTCCTCTTTTTTCTCTCTTTTCTTTCCAATTTTTGTGTTAGCCTTCATGATATTGCAACACAGAGATGGATTGGAAGAATTTTTTTTAAAGCTTGTTATATTCAGGTAGGGTTGTTGTATTTGATATTTAATATGACATGAAATGTTACTTCCCAATTTCAAATGCCCTGATGCATTTTAAGAAACAGTCCCATAAAAAGTCTGTCTTTTCTCAGAAGAAAATTAGTTCAGCCTGCAGAAAAAGTTGAGCTCAGAAGGCAACTGTTCAAGCTACATTGAACAGATGGTCCCCAAGTTTGGAAGATGGGCAAGAAATAGTTTTAATTACTGTTGCAATAAAGTACAAGAAAAGATATGGATGGGTCAGTATACAACCCAGTAGTCATTTTCAACCAAGCCCACTATTTGGGCTGGTTAATTTTGTTAAATCACAGAAGGGATGGATGCTGTGGAGAGCTAGAAAGAAACAATACGGAACATACAATAGGTGAGTTGCCTTGAAGAAGCTGGATCATTTTGCTTTTTGAAATATTAAATCTTTAAAAAATAAAAAATCTTCATTTCATTCCCCTTAACAGGGTGCTTGGCATTGAAACCAGCTGTCTCAGTAAGAAGTTTGGCATCTCTATGTAAAGTTCAGCTGTTGTAGAACTGGGTTATGAATAAGTGGGAAATGGTTTATATTTTGTCTTTAGAAAACTAAAATTAGAAGATGGTAACCAAAGATATTTGAACAGGGTTGCTGTGCATCAGATCACATATTTCCCAGGATGTATTTTATAGTTTTATTTCCCTAAAATGAGAAGGGCACAGCACTGCTATATGGGTCATCTCAAGATATTCATATCTGACACAAGATGCCTTCTGCCTTTAGAATAGACACCTTGTGATGTTCTAACTCATAGCTACTTTCACATCTCACTGTGATGTGATATACTCAACTCCATGCTGTTCCTGTCAGAGAAAGCAGTTCCTGAGAATAGCAAAAAGAGGATTGGTGATAGAGCAAAATTGCTGATGTCATCCATTCCAGACTCTTGCTTGTTAGAAAATGAAAACAGTATATGCTTCCCTTTTGCTTCCAGGTGAAATTTAAATGAGCAAACTGCTCCACTTTCCACCCAGCAGTAAATTGCAAACTGTCATCTTTCCTGATCATAAATGTAACTGTAATCTTAAACCTGGATCTATTCCAAGCCATCATCACAACCAATGCATTGCCTCCACTAAGACACAGCAATTCTTCATGACTTGGGGGGTAAAAAGGAAAATGATGGCATCTTAATCAGTTGGGTATGTTTGTTATGTGATTTAGGGTATTTGTTTAGTACTTCCAGTTGTCTTCTGCTAGCAATATGTACAGTACTGTGTCAGGCTTGTGACATTTGGGTAAAACCGTTTCTGTAAGTGAATGATTTTAGCTTTTGAAAAAAATGACAATGATGTCACTTTAATAATTTAATACGTCTGGACAGATGTATGATTTATAAATGGCGATTTTTAGGCTCTTCATAGGATTCTATAATAATAACAACAACAACAACGTATACTTTAAAGAAGAACTTTCCCAGACTTTTCTTCTTGACCTTAAGAGGCATGCAGGGTTTCTTTTATTATTGTTTCTGCATTTTTGTTGTTTTTTGGTTTTGCCTTAAGTAAGGACAGAAGATATATATGGCTGGACACATATGTATAAACTTTTCAGCAGCATTTTTAATAATAAAATATCACAGTATTTTCTAAGGCTTTGTGCAAAGAATTATGTGTTTATCATTTTTGTAAAGAAAATCATTCTGAAAATCTGAAATCTGTATTAAATTCCTGAGTTCACATCGACAGTTGCCACTCCAAAGTGTTACACTGGTAGGCTGGATCTAATATTGTTAATTAGCATTGCTATAAGCCTATTGCCAAGATGATGGAATGCCAGATGTAGAAGCTCCAAACTACTTAACAGCAAGTATGATTTATTATAACCTATGCATTTTATCTCTTCTTCTAAGTTATCATTGTGTTGTGTGAATGTGAAAATTAAATGCTTGAACACTAAACAAGCCACCCATCAAATTAAAACAAAATTAACTCTGCACCTTACAAGTTTCCATGGTTAGCTATTCAAATGAAAATTCCTGTACTTAGTTGAATAGTCTAGCCTTGGTTTTGATATTCATCATTGTAGGCTGAGATACAGCTTTACAAACAAATGAATCTCCTTTGTGTTAGATCATTTATTTGTCTGCCCTGCTCAGTGACCAGGCACTCCTTTATAGAATTCCAGAGGGTTTGGCCAGGCTTATCTGAAAACACCAGAGATTAAACCAGGCATCTTCTGCATGTAGAGCATTTGTTTACCACTAAGTTTCAAGCAGGAAACCCTGAATCAGGCATGCAGAAGTCTCACAGGAGACAGACCAGCTGTCTGCCATCTTCATTGCTAGGTCTATGAAGCTGTACATTTCAAGCAAATGTTGAGCTATTGCTACTGGTGAATATGTAGAAATCCTGGAATTCAGCCTTGACAAATGATTTATTGGTTTTGGTGGACTAGCTTTTTTTAACCCAGTCTCTGGTTAAACTAAAAATCTCAGAGTTTCACCTCTGCTTATATGAAAACATGTTATGAGTCTCATCCATAATCATTACAGGTTAAATCCCTGTTACTGCTCATGTTTTACATTTTTTCTTGTGTCTGTTGACATTTTCTGTGAGTCTGCTCCAACACAGTCAGTTCAAACTGAATGAAAACTTAGGAACCTAAATGCACATTTAATAAACTCAATGGAATGATTGTGATTTATACTAATTCATTTCTTGCACAAGCTTTAGTGTGGCACATATGTATATACTGTCATGGGGAAAAGCCTTATTTACATACAGTCTAGAATGTAAGACTGCTGTCATTGTTTTGGATTCACTCTTTATGGAAGATCAAACATAGAGACATAAAGACACTTGATGTTATAAATAAATCTTGGTCAGCTTTGTTCAGAATTCTTCATCTTCGGAATGAAAAATTAAATCAAAGATCAGGCAAATTTCCTATAATATCACCAAATTACAAGGTTAACTTCAAGTTGCATATTAAAATTGCATCAGTGAGCTTGTAGGAATAAATTTGGAGAATAATGCTTAGAAAATCTTCTTGAGCAAAGAACATACACATTCTGTGTTTAGGACCAAATAATTTTTAAATTGAAACAGAATGCATACATTGTGAAAAGGCTGCACTAATTACCCCTATCCGTATATTCTAAGTTGAGAAGTCATAGGAACAAAGCTTTCCTTAAACAAATGGGAACAATCAGCACAAAGTACCCCTTGCAAAAGTAGATTGTAATTAAAAAAAAAAAAAAAGCTATGTGACAAAAACTCAAGCATCCTATATGCAAGCAAGTTATAGTGACTTCTGGCTTTTGCTCAATGATTCCTGAGCTCAAGAGACCCCAGTTATATGAAATAAAATAGGACAATATGACAAAGGGATATACATTTAAACCCACATGCCTACATATATAACTCACACTACAGAATTAAAACAAATGCTGAAATTGTGGCACATGCAGAACATTCATTGCCTTAGGAAAAGAATATAAATATATTGAAATTTTCATATATGCAGTGATCAATGGCAGTTCCCTCACCTGTCTATGGTATGCAGCCTTCAGAAGATTAACCAGAAGGGAATGTGGGCTGAAACGGTTTCTTCTTTCCTTTTCTAAACCAAAGATCCATCATCTGACTTCATAGACACATATAGGTGTGCTTATTAAACCATCTGCCAAATTTCTTGACAAATTCTGCATTACTGGAAATACTTACAAAAGCAGAACAAAAGTCACAATCTATTGCTCTGGAGATTTTATTACTAGAATAACTTACCTGGTTCGTGGGGAAAATAATTATTTTTTCAAGGGGTTTTATTTTTATTTGTTATACGGTGTAGGTATGTGGATGCATTCATAAGAAAATGCTGCTGCTGCTGCTGCTGCTGCTGCTGCTATTACATATCTATAATAAATGAGGATGCATTTGTGATTGTAAGTGCCATCACTTCAAGACTGTAAAAGCTAGATACCTGACACTTGGTATGTATACTAAGGCATGTACATATCAGGTTTATCTAAAATGCATTTATTAGTTCTAATTAAATGAATCCTTTTGTTTGAGGCCTACAGTACCATCATCAGCCGCTTGGGCCATCAGCCATCAGCCCTAATATTTGCAATTGATGCAGTTAAAGCAAAGGATGAGTAGTCTGATGTATAGACTTATATGGATTTGTCTCTTCTGGCTTGGGGCAGCCTCTCTCAGGAAAATAACATGGACAGACACATCCTTCAGGGGTCTCTAGGGTTACACCATAGCAGGGATTCTGGCTAGGGGTACTATCAAATGTGGCTTCACTCTTACTTGGCAGGCACATTGGGTTTAACTGTGAAAGTTGTGTAACATTTCTTGAACATTTTTTTGTAACAAGCTGCTATTTCAAGTTCTGTGAAGCTCAGCCCAATTGCCAGTAATCAAGATATAAGCACTTACATACTTAATTTTAAAGATTTTTTTTTAAATATCGCACACGAGTGCTTGTAAACCCTTGAGGAAGGAGAGAAACTATTAAAAAAAACACCCAAGCACGTCATAGAA